TTTTTTTATCTCAACAATACATGTTTTGTTTGTTAAATACAACAAGTATACATGTCAAGTCTTCTCTTTTTTAATCTCAACAATACATTTTGAATTGAGGGTGCTATGACATCCTTACATTTGACACACATTATTAATTGCACTAATCCTGGCATTAATAATGCTTGATCTGATCTGCTTGAGGATAAAGTCGTAGGCCAGGAGGTACCGGCCAGGACTAGTCAATAATTCTTTTGTTTCCTATATACTTTCCAGCTCCAGAGATATTCCAAACAGCCTGTAATGAGACCCAGGGTTATGGGTTTGCAGTGGACTGGTGGAGTTTGGGTATCTGCGCTTATGAAATGCTGAGGGGAAGGGTAAGTTAACCAGATTTCACATAATTGTTCAAACTGTGAAAAATGTACAACACCTGTAGAGGAAAAAAGTACAGACCTGTTGTGTGAACTGTGTGTACCACCTTTCACTAATAGTACTCCAATCTCAGGGTTGGTCCCTAAAACTACTGTACCATAACAGGGCTTAGAATAATGACCAATCAGTTGCCAGCCATGTTATAACCAGCCAAATTAGTTTTAGTTTGGTCGTACCTCATTTCTGGTTAAACATCAAGGGCAGATCCAGCCGAAATTTTAGGGAGGGCTAATTGAGTTTCTTCCAGCAACACAACGGAAAACAATAAAAAAAAGCATCTAATTCTTCATTTTTGTTTTTTGTTTTTTTCCTGCTGATGGGGGGCTTCAGCACCCCTTTGCCCCCCCCCCCCCCCCCCCCCCCCCCCCCCCCCCCGGGGGAAAGCGGGGGGGATTTTTTTTTTTTTTTTTTTTTTCTCTGAAGGGGGGCTTCCCCCCCCCTTTTCCCCCCCCCCCCCCCACCCTGGATCCGCCCTTGAACATTACTGGTCAAAACAACTGTCAAGATTTGATTGGACAAGCTCCAATTCTAGCAGGACATTGTCCAATGAGTGGTTATTACTTTAAGCCCTTCATCACATGTAGGTTGAGGTGTCCCCTATGGAAAAACTAACTTTTCCAGCTGTTATTATTATTTATTATTATTATTTTATTCATTTTCAGAGGCCATACGAAATCCATGCCAATACAAGCATACAAGATGTAAATCAGATGTTCTCTTCTGAATCAATATTTTATTTAAATGGCTGGTCCAAACCCATCATCAGTATTCTTCAGAAGGTATGTGACTATTGTACTTATTATATCAGCAGTTACTGTGATCAACATGCACCATCTATTAACTACCACTTACTGACAGCTTAGAGCAGTTTTTATATAATAATGATGATGATGATGATGATGCATGATGGTGATGATGATGATGATGATGATGATGACGATGATAATATGTTTAGAAAAAAGAATACATCGTAAGCCCCTGGAGAGATTTGAACTCTCGACCCCTGGTTTACAAGACCAGTGCTCTAACCACTGAGCTACAGAGGCGTCCATGGTTACGTCAGTCATTCATATCATAATAATAATGATAATAATATGCTTGTATAGCACATATACAATCCTGATCTATGCAAAACATTACGCCCAAGTGGATTTGATCCATTGCCTTATGTCTTGCAATCTTATAGCCCCCTACGTGCCCCACCCACTATTAGGGTGCTTTGCTGTCCTTGCTCTATGAGGAAACTCTATCGAGTAACTAATTTTGGATGAGATAATCCCATTGCCTGTATATGCCAATCTACCCTGATGATAATAATAATAATAATAATAATAATAACAGTTTAATGATGACATATCTACAGAGTAGCTATACATTCATCATGCTAAAGTTGAATATAGAATAATAAATCTATTAATTGCAAAAGGTATATATATAAATAATAAGAAAAAATATATATGTGTAATAATTAATGCCTATGGAATTAAACAGTCTATCGACTGGGCAGATGTTCCTTTGGAGCCCAAATCGTAGAAAGAACAGCAAATAGAACACCATCATAACCATACTGTTCTTTGTAAAGCTTCTTCAACAGGATCCAAAGTTCAGGTTAAGTAACCTTGAAAGTCTAAAAGAACAAGAAATGATGGAAGATGTCAACTGGGATGATGTATATAATAAAAATGTCAAACCCTCCTTCGTACCACCGGTAAGAATTGTGGCAGTAAGGTGTTTATCTAAAGATGTTATGGTGTCTTTGCTCAATTAAGAAAAAAACTATGTCCTTTTTTCACAAGGGTAGCCCTTAATAATCAGAGGCTAACAAACCTGTGGCCCTCATTCCGTGATCGAATTGGAATTTAGGAGTTGATTTTGAGGAGGGAGGAAAACCAGAGAACCCCGAAAATCCTCGAAGCACAGGAGAGAACCAAAAAACAACTCTACTCACATACGACACCGAAACCATCGGGACTCAAACTCGGGTCACATTGATTAGAGGCGAGCACTCTCACCACTATGCCACCCATGCTTCCCAAGAGAAGATCTTGTACTAGGATCTCGTACTGTACTAGGACTGTGAAAAGTTTCTCAAACTCAACATGCTTGTCATGTTAAGATGGCTTCTGTTTTCACTAGAACAGATGCTTTCTGGTTGGCTCTGAAACCCAAAGTTGGAATGTATTGTTTTTATTCTACAATTTGATTGGTTCTTGGTGTCTAAGTGTCCCCGGTTATAGTAGTTGCACTGTGAAGCAGTCATGCAAAAAGACTTGTAACCACATGTTTGTAACAAGGGCGGATCCAGGGTTTTTTGAAGGGGGGGTCTCAGGGGTAAATTTTGTGGGCAAAGGAATCCCAGTCACATTTTTACCACAGGAAGCCCATTTGACCTCAGGAATGACAGGGGGGTCGTGCCTCACCCCTGACCTTCCCCCTGGATCCGCCCTTGTGTAATATTGTTTTATCTAATCTGACTTTGCAGAAAGATCATTTAAACTGTGATCCAACATATGAACTAGAAGAGATGATTATAGAATCTAAACCACTTCATAAGAAGAAAAAGAGACTAGCAAAGATGACAAGCAAAATGGTAGGAATTATTATAACATTATTGCATTCTCTTTCCACACTTTTTTCCAGACCAATATTACTGCAATTTTCATAAACATGCAAAATTTGGTTTTTCGCTGCCGCCAGTCAAAAACATAAAAGGTACCTACTGATTAGGTTTGATTGAAGGGGGTGAAAAACCAAGTGGTTGGAAAGTGGTGCATAAGTGGTTGTTAGGTGGTTGGCAAGTGGTGCATAAGTGGTCCATAAGTGGTTGTTAGGTGGT